TCGTTTGAGATACGTGCGCGAGGCCTCTATTTTGAGACAGCACTCAAGTGGTACTACAACCCAAGTAACATTTTACTCCATTTAAGAGTTCAATAGTCGTTCACATGTACTCCACAAGCTGTGTATGTCAGCTGTATACGAGCTGTATAGCTTGCTATAATGCTTTTATAGAACCAGTTTGGGCACAAATTAGACAGCTTTAAGTTCACTATGGCTGTACATTAGCAGTATAATAGCATTATAATAGCAGTTTAAATAGTAACATCGTACTTAAGGCTGACTTACGGCACTATATGGGACGCAGTGTGAACCATACAACGTACGTGAGGACAATAAAGAGTAACAAGTGGCTAAATGCACAGCTTTCAAAGTTATAAAGTCCGACAAAAGTACTCCAATGCTACCTAAAGTTCACGTGTGTCTTAAATTATTTCCACATTTTAATATTAGTTTGGTATTTGTACGTGAGTGCCAAGAGGGAAACAACTCGGGCGGATAATCATTTATGCAAATAATAACACGGGTTTTAAATACTTAATAATGTTAATGCCATTGGGAATGCAACTTTATCGTGAAATGTATACATATTTACAGCTAAAATATTTACGCGCCTCTGTAAAAACGCGATATTCATTTTAATTTTATTAACACAAACAAGTCCTACTACAGCTACTAGCTGTATAACAGTCTAAAACAAGTAAACATAACAGCCTTTGGCTTTATAAATGACCACGTGTGTTCTATTAAAATGCTAGCTCTATAACATCGTACAAGTAGGCCGTTAAACAGCGGTTGCCGTATCTCTACCCTCCTATAATGCTCTTAGTCAGACGGCTGACTAAAGGATAGTTGTTAGAGTATTATAACACCAACAATCGTATAAAAGTATAACTCTACACTAGTCTACACTCCTATAAGTCCCTTAGACAGGTATAGGTGTAATTAATTGCAATAATACAGCTTATACATCACGAGTGAACTGTACTAATGCTTTAAGTACACATTGGAACTAAATGTGAACTCTTAAATGGAGTAAAATGTTACTTGGGAAATCCCTGAAGTGATATACAGGTAGGATAGTCCTTGAACTAAGAAACAAAGATGAGTTCCATAATTGTATTGCCTATTGTGAGATCAAAATCTTCTACAGTGATATAAAGTAATTGATACTCAGGTATTACAGTGGTGTTACATACCTATGTAAGACACTCCGGTACAACAAAATGTATACGATTGAAGTTCTTTCGTTCGTTCGTTTCAGCCAAATGACGTCCACTGCTGGACAAAGGCCTCCTCCAAGGTTTTCCACAATGCACGGTCCTGCGCTGCCCGCATCCAGGCTCTTCCCGCGACCTTTACCAGATCGTCGGTCCACCTAGTAGGAGGCCTGCCCACACTTGCGAAGCGATTGAAGTACCGCACCACAAATTAGTAGTTGTTGTAATAGTTGTACAATAAAAATACACAATGTGATGCGCTGAAAAATCTACAGTACAGTTCGAAAAAAGGGAGCATTATAATAGCATTAGGTCTTACCGAAAAAATAAAAACATCTCAAAATCCGAAAGCGACGGAGTTGTCACTCCACAATCTGCTAATTATTTCAATATCTCTTCTATTTAATAACTGATAACGTCCCCAAAATTATAACCAGCAACTAATAGCTCGGTTAATTGTTATTCGGGTCACCACCGCCGCATTTATTCGGCCATTACAAGTCGGGCCATCGCCGCGCCGCATCGCACCGCATTCGCAGCTTAAAAGCTAAACCGTACCGCTTTTAATTCACACAAACATTTCCCGCGAACAACGGCGTAAGTAATTTAATTAGGCAGTCGGCGCACGCGGGACAATAGTGATGGGATAGTGATTTTGTAACGGTAATAAGATTTAAATATATTTATTTTGACAGTAGTAACATGGGTACAATTTATGTAAAGAATTGTGTCTTGGTTGTATTATAATAAATAAATTGTGCCAGATTTCACCCGAATTAACGTGACAGCTCGTCGCTTCTAACTGACGTAACTGACATTTTGCAAAATTTTCAGGCGATTAGGCGAGAAGACGAATCAGTCTTGCAAAACTGATTATGATGGTGTAGATAACTCAGTTTCGAAAAAAATGACAGATACCTACGTCAGAGAGGCAAGCGACGAGCTGTTCCTTATTCCAAATAATAAATAAATAAAAATAATTTAAAGCATTTACGTTGTTGTTTTACTCGTATATCCCCGGTACAAACGATGACCAGTGTAAGTTTTTAATTTGATTGTGACCGTAAATCACGCTTCAACGCCAAAAAAAAGACTAGTACAAAATGAACAAGGAACTCATTCGGTAACATTACTGAAAATTATCTTCCATAATTAAAAAAATATCTCTCCCATCACTACTCAGGCCGGGTCGCGCAGGATTATAATAAGCGGCTAAATTAATATTTGACGAGCATGCGTGCCCCCGACCCCGCACTATCCAATTCATACTTCATTTTCATTAAGAACGCTACGAGGTACGTACGAGTATGTGACCCAGGTTTAATTATTTGTACAGTCTGCAAAAGGGAAAGGAAATGAAAATATCTTTATTTAATTTTGGCCACGATTGGGTAGTTTAATAACGACCCATCCCATACAAGGGACTCTTTGCAAGTTGCCTTGTCTTTTGGGATCTACCAGCACTTCGGTCTTTTCAAGGCGAGAGTGAATAGTCACTTACATACAGGGCAGATATGTACCATCCTAGACTGCATCCCACTTAACATCAGGTGCGATAGTGGTCAAATAACTGCCTTGTTATGCATAAAAAAAATAAAAAAAGATAAGGCAAGAGCTTTTTCGATGACTTCTATGAACAATTGACTGCACTAAAATAGAGAGAAACGGGTCTTAACGCGACATTTATGACTGAGTTACATTATGTACCTACTCACGGCTTGACGTTTCGACTGCTATGCTGCAGCCGTGGTCACAAGCAGACTGGCGGCTCGCGGCGTCGTCCGTTCGGGCGTGTCTTTTTATTTTAGTTGAAATGGATATGGTTTAAAATACACACTCGAATTGAGAACCTCCTCCTTTTTTTGAAGTGGGTGAAAAATCTTAAATTGACTGCACATCAGAATACACATTTTTATTGTAACTTTTTGACACCTGAGTCTTCGTTTTAGAAGTTCCAATCCTAAGTTCTCAAGTTGATTATAGTTCTTGTGAAAATCTGAAATTCCTGCATCTGAATGGCTTTTCCGAATAATTATAACTTGGCTTAAACTTTAGAGCAGTTCTCTTAAGCAGTGTAAGTTTTAACTGCTTAAGAACTCAAAACCTGCGCTTGGGTGCTATTAAAACTAAATTCCATTTCACATTTCTGAATGTTTTCGTATCAAAATAGTATAATAGAATTCCAACCCACGCTTTTCAACGACTTAATTTATTTATCCCAGCACACACTCGTCCAAATAAATAAAAATAAAATCCAATGGCGATTCAATAGAAGCCTATTTTTAAGGGAAGGCCTCCCTTTTACCTCCATCCCTCCCACGTCCCTCAAATTGCAAGTGGATTCACTTGAAATGTGAAGATATATCACGAAATAAGAAATTTTACTCAAATGAGACGCTGTCTAGCTGTAATGTGGAAAACTAGACAGACATTTTCTTAAATTACTCGGCAAAGTTGGAAAAGCGAGGCAATGTTCATTGTTCGCTAACCGAGCAAAAAACTAATAAAAATATGAATTGTTAAAGGTAATTTTAATATTTATGAAACATAGAATATGTAAATTCGTAACAATAAAAGTCCTAAAATATTCCTAAAATGTAAAAGTAGAATTTTCTTGTCTTCGTGTTGTTAATACAAGTACATTTTACCTAGCTGTGTTCACAATAATTGCTGAACTCACTAGTAATGGATTAAATCTTATTTTTCTTTGCTTTCTAAATTCTGCAATCGGTAAAAGGGCCTCTGTCAACATCGTGAATTTGGCGCATAAAAAGCACATTTTGAAATTTGACCACGATCACCACACGCCGTAACACACTGTCACACATCCGAAGAAGAACCGTATAAAAAGTCACCCTCTTCAAAGATCCACCATTTCGAAACTACATGTCATGTAACGTCCGACGCAACAATGCTTGCAAATAGGCAAATGCTAAGGAAGAGTCAGTCAACGTAACTCCCTACTAAAAAAGCCCAAACGCCCAAAGATTCGTACGAAAACGTCACACCGCGTTCTTAACCGCTTCGAAACTCATAAAAACCTCACAAAACTCATTTATTTTTGCAAATAGGCTTTTAACCGATTGAGTCCCAGACGGCATTAATTAATGTCATAACAATTGATTATCTATTGTGTCTAGATTCGCGGAGCTTGAAGGATTAAACAGCACTTTGACACGTCCCAGTATTAACCCTACCACTGCTTTGGGACAACAAATGGCCCAGTGCTGAGAAGAAGCAGCGCAAGAAACTCAGTCACAATTGTCAGCAGCAAAGGCACTACTATTTCGAAACTACATGTCATTTAACGTCCAACAGTGCTTGCAATAGGAAAATCCAATAAGGAAGAGTCAGTTTGTTCTCTAATCGAGCGTCCGCAATCAGCTCCAAGTGGTCCGTTCGCGCGGAAAGCTGCCATCTTATTGAGGCGAATCCCGTGGTCAGTGTACCGTTCACGCTTTGTGCAGAACCATTTTGCCGTTTGAATCAGATTTATAATGGACCTGCATTGGACGTTGTCCTTTTGCCCGGTTTCTGACGTGAACTCTGCAAATATTGATGCGACGGTTGAAAATCAACGGATTGAGACGTTCCGGTGGACAATTAGCCAGAATTACCTATTCATATTAGTCTTTTAATTACTATAATATTCAATTTTAATTTCGCCATTTGATGATTAATCTGAAGGTCTCTCAAATATTTCTGCTATTTTTGTCGTAAGATGATCAAACGAAGCATGTTTAATGTTTATACAATGTTTTAACGTATTTTTCATTGTTTCAGAGCGATTCGAGGAACAAAGAACACCCAGCACGTAATTCTCATAGCTGTCGTGAAGAAAAGGTAAGTTTGTATAATTATTTATTACTTAGGCTCTATCTCTCTACTTAGCCTCAAAGTTAGCGAGAAAGTGACGATATTATTAATCGGAATTGGCCGAAGTTTGTTGTGAGTTTACTAATTATATAATTCATCCGGTACCTTTCACGATGTACAGTCAACAGAACATCAGCCTACACTTTTTTGTTGAAAAATCGATCTTATCACAACTACAGAAGCTCCCACTGTGTTAAGCTGATGTGGTCTTTTGTACATGTAAAAGTTGCAAACCAAGCTAGAGCTTTCGTATTTCATAGAAAACTCCTCGTTAACGTTTGCCGGTACTTATCGGTAAACAACATTATACGTATAAAAGCTTAAGCATATTCTTCGAGTCTTTTGTGCGAAGTTTCGAAGCTTACTTAAAACTTTCTCTGCTTATTGGAAATCGTCCATGAACAGTATTTGCAAGTAGGTATACATATACGTATCTGCTTAACATTTCTTTTTATCTTTGTGCTAAATGAGTTGTTCTTTCTTTCTTTCTTAACTGAAGGTATAAAAAAAGTAATAAATACCGATATCGAAAATGAAAATGAAACAGAATTTTATGCATTTAAGGGCGGGTTTATTAGGTACAGTTGAGTTTTTAAAGTTAACTATCAGAACGTGATCTTGTGAACCTTTAAAAGAAAAATGCAATACGTGATAAAGTTCGGACGATGCAATCATAATATTGCATGTTCCGAGTCGCTACCATACTATATTTCATCTAGGTTTTCACAAAAGATTTTACTTTCATTTCACATGCTCGGGAGCAAAGAGAATTAGTTTCCTATAAATAGTCTGGAGCATAAGAAAATATTATTGTAGATATTTAATGCATCGCCATAATGTAACGGAGTAGATAAGGCTTAAAACTAAAATCATTAAGGACTGCAATTAGAAGAGAAGAGTATCGACTGATTAATTACAAGCTATTAAAAAGAAGTCATGCTAACTTACTACTCGTAAGATTAATTAAAATAATAAATATAACTTGATACAAAGTCGAATGAAAAACGAAACAACAATCGTCGTATCAAACTCGACAACTTGATCTTATTCGTAGCACGTAGCAATTCGTAGTTCGTAGCCGTCTACGGCGTAGCGCCGAACTTTACTGATTGTACATAAGTTGCCGAGCGTCTAGTTAAAATTAAAAAGTTCAATAAACCGATCAGTACTATACGATAACTTAATAAATTGGTTTGATCAAAAGATACCATTCTGAAGCTTTTTTTAAGTTTCTTTTATAAACTTTCCCAATTAGATGAGCGTATTTTTAAAGACTGAGTGATCAAAAGTTTTTATCTAAAATTTTATAGTTGACATTTAAATGTCAAAGTTTTGAACTTTTAAGCAATGGCTTTGAAGCTTCGTAAAGTTTTATTGGACGCCTATAAAACTTTTCTCTTTGGCTTGTTTATTTATACCTAGTACTAAGGCACTATAAACTACTTAGGTAGGTAATAAGCGATCCGCTAAAGCCTCAAAATAGTACACTATCTACAAGTTTAACTTAATGCATTATTCTTCGTCTTGTTCAATCAACTCTTTTTTATTCTAACGCTGTCAGAGAGCAAACTAAGGGCATTGTTAAACAAGAAAAGTTCCTAACGTAAACTATGACTTCACAAAGTGAAGGGAAATTGTGAAGTAATTTACTTTTACCCATTCGTACAACTTTCATTTATAGGTTATCATTTAGTGAACGAAGAAAGCTTAGAAATCGTGACGATATTTTTTTTATAAATTAGTTTTGAAACTCCGCTATCTTCCGCAATTGACAGTTCTTCACGTAGGCCAAACTCTTTGAAACACATAAAACAATACGATTTCATACTTGTTAGGCGGTACGAAATTTATCGGTCAGCTTTTTGTATAATAAATAGAACATTTTACTTCCTCCTCTAAAATGAAAAGGTCATTTTTATCGAGGCAAAATTCTACGAAATTATAAATGGTTTTCTTATTTTTAAAATGATACGCGACGGAACAACTAATAATATCCATAATAGCAGGATATCTTTACGCTACAGTTTCCTTAATGTAACATGCTTTATTGAGTTATGTAGGGTACATCCTTCCTAATATCATAAAATATCTGTTATTACCTGGGAAAAACGTTTTATGAGTTTACAACTACTTTCAGATGCTTACTTAATTTTGTAATATGTACGAGTATGTATTCTAGTTCGTAGTTTTAAAGTATTTATTTATGTTTGGGAAACATACAGTTACAATACAATTTAAATAAGATGAAGTAAAAAACACATAAAACAATAATCGGTGTATGTGTTTCCACAGTTAAATACCCACATAAAGTTAGGCAAACCGAAGTATGGTTATATCCGTTTTTTGAGACGAATAGCTTTGTTTTATTTTTGGACTGGATTGCATATAAAAGGATATATTTTATGGAATTTTTGCATATGTCAATCCAATTAATTATGGACCGATTTATTCATTTTCGTTTACCTTCAACATCAGAGTTTCAATCAACTCTCTTCCGTGATTAAACAAACTCAATCCATTCGTTTAACTTCGAATCCTTTTTACGGATAATTGGAGTGTTAAAAAGCTTTTACATCCTGTTTATAGACAACGCAAGTTTGTAATTTTATTACTTTGCACTAGCCTTTTACGCTTGTTCCCAGATTACTGCCAGTTAGTCCGGGCTATGACATTGTCTACAATATTATTAGTATTGCCATATTATTATTCTGTTGTTGCAGACAATCATTCTTATGGGGATCATGGAATTACTTAGAATCAGATCAAGACCTTGTGTTATTTTCACAAAATCCATGACTTAATTAGGCCTGTAAAGTTAACCGGTCTTATGTAGTAAAATATGTAATGTCATTTTTTACTTTTACATTTTAAACCAAAATACTTCTACTAATATTTGTTCGCTCCACAAAATTATCCTGTACCAGATAAAGACCGTAGTTATCACTATGTAGGTTGTAACACTATCGTGTCACACTTTATGACCTCCATGGTTTTCTCATGCCATGTTACGACCCCTAAGACTATGGCTTTAGCCACCTTGCCCTCCATTTTGTCAAAACAAAAAGCGTAATGTTTTTTTTGTGCTACCAAATAATTTTCCTTTCATTCTAATAAAAGCCAGTGCCTACGTATATCATTGTAAATTAAATTAACTTTTTCCTTGAAGGCTTTATATGTAGAAAATTACTGTTCTTTTTAATAAAATGTATTTCCGCTTTGAAAGTACTCGTCATAATACAGTTACCTAATTCTAAAAATTTAATTAAAAGTGCGATGGTTTTTCGATAAGTACGAGGGGCGGCTGAAAAGTTTTGAGCCTAGGGTATTAAAAATGCCGATAGAAAAGTACAAAAAATATATTTTTCTATTTAATCTCCCTCTACTACAACGGACTTCTTACATTTGTGTAAAAGAGCTTTTAACCCACTGAAAAAAAATTCGCAATCTTTGCCTTCGAAATGACCCTTTAACGTCGCCTTCATTTCTTTGTCACTCAAAAATCTACGTTCCTGGAGGTCTTTTTTCCAATTTGAGAATTAGACAAAATAGCTAGAGATTTGGACTAAACTGTGTGGTGGGTGATTAATTTCTTGAAATCCAGTTTTACCCGGGGCAAGCCTTGCAACATGCGCGATGTGCGCGGGCGAATTGTCTTGCAATAACAGATTTCCTTTCGCCAGTTTGCCTCTTAATATTTCAACAACCACTTGACGCACTCTTATCAACAGTACAGCATAATAATCCCCGTTTAATGTAGTTTTTTTTAAGTAGGTAGTCAATGAATGAAATTCCTCCACAATCCCAAAAATAGTGGCTATGAGCTTGGGTGTCGATCGCTCAACTTTGAATTTCCGCGGCGGCGTTTTCCCTTTTGAATCCATTGCATTGACTCTTATATTGACTCTAGATCGTACTGCCGGATCTATTTTTAATCAATACTGACAATGTGAGAAAAAAAATTGTTAGGATTATGGCCAAAGATGTCCTAAAACTCCTGCGAAGTTGTGACTCGACGCTCGTTGTCGAACGGCGTGAGCATTTTTGGCACCCATCGCGTGCACCCCTATTTCATGTGCAAATGAGTATGAAAAATATCACCGATACGTTCCTTGCTAATGCTTATGGCTTCAGCTATCTGTCACAGCTTAAATCGCGGATCTCTAAAGCAATATTCTTTAAATTTTCATTATTTTATTCGTTAATGGCGAAATCTGGCCGCCCTGACTTGAGGTCATCTTTTAGCGACTCCCTGCCATGCTTGAACTATCGGATCCAATCTTTCATGATGGCAAATGAAGGCCCAGACTCCCCATAAACTGTAGACATTTCTTCAAATGTTACCGTCAGCGTTTTGTTCCTCTTTTTGAGGAATTTTATGACAACTGTGTACTTCAATTTCGTACATTGCGCGGATGACTGAGACATGATGATGTTTACGAATTAATTACTAAAAGCATGATGACGCTAATGAAATGAAACTTTGTACATATACTAAGGAGGTTATTGGCAAATTAATTAAATTTAGTGCGAGTCAATAATAACACTTGAAGATACTTAGGCTCAAAACTTTTCAGCCGCCCCTCGTAGCTATTGATTTTTTTATTTACTTTTTATCTGTTAAAAAAATACTCGTAGCAAAGATTTTCTAAAGGTCTCTACCACTTATTGACATTCCTGTCAAATAACGGGCATAAAATCGACATCAAGCCGCTGAAAATCATTACAGCTCTCGCGTTAACTTCAGAATACTTGAATAGGCCACGGAAAGCTCACTCCTATTAATTTCTTAATCCAAACCAATAAAACCTTAAGAGACGGATTTCACACTAAAGGACTTAACGTCCATCCCGGATTATTCCGGAGTCTGTGAGGCTATTCCAGTCTGTCGGCCTCAATAGGCTTATGTCTAAACGCGAGTCGGAGTCGACAGGCTTTCATTCGATTTGCACGGTCATTACTGTAATTGG